CACTCACTTCCACCCTTTCTCTTTTTTGTGAAGCAGCTTTTTTTATAGCCATTGTGAATGTGTCCAAAAGTAGCAAAGAGCTTGGAAGGCCACTCCGCATTTCTTCTTCCTTTTGCAGGTCAGCTTGAGCTTCTCCCCATGTTTCCCTCCAGTAGGTGGACATACTGGTATTTACACAAGAAGCCCAAAAGTCAACAAATGAAAATTATTGGAATGGAAAGAAAAGGGGGTCTTTGGGGTTTTTTTGTTTCAGAGCTTGGTAGATGCACGCTTTGCCTCTTGCACAGTGCTGTGAGACCATGTGGAGAACCTGCCTGTGGAGGAGAACTTCAGCACCAGAGGAGGTTTCTGCCTGGGTCTCCGTGCTGCTCAGTTTAATGAGGCATGCTGGCTTTTGGCAGGTTTCCAACTGGCTGCCACTCCATGCCACTGTCTCTTATTAGGTAGGATGTTTTTAGGTGCTGGATTGAATTTACTTCCAGCCCATGCAGACCTGGTGGTGGTCTGCTTTTTACACACTCCAATTTACAGAGCTAGCGCCAAGCTACTAAATTATTAAGCTGGGGTTTTAATAGAAACCCCTGTGCAGGCTTAAATTGTTTCCACTCTATTTGGAGTTTCCTGTTCTGCTGGTATTTATTTTGTCCTGTGCATGAAAGCGTGGAGGGAGGAATTCACAGGAAAGCTCAGAGGCAAAGAGGAAAAATTTGGCCCGAGAGCACTAGAAAGTACAAACCAAATAAAAAGTTAATTGGTACTGTATCCAGCTCTGATGGTGGTGATAGGGGGGAAAAAAAAATGCTTCCTAATCCCCATGACAGTTCAGCGGAAACTTGTGTGTTTGTTTTCAATGCTGTTTGTTACTTACATTTCTCAATAAAATATTTTCTTGCCCGACTGTTTTTGTCTTGACCCCTTCCCCAGGGCTTGAAAGGGACGTTTGTCAGCAAACACAGCTCCCCTAGTTTTTCCCCCAGTGTCAAACACTGCTGCTGCCAGCAGGACAGCAGTGCTCGGTCGGGTGGGACTTCCCTTCTCAGTGGGGGATCCCCCTTCTAGCTTTGCACCGCTTCCACCCAATCCTTCCCTTGCTGCAGGCTCTCCCCTACAGCCCCGCACCACTGAGTGCTGGGTCAGGATTACACTTGCCCATTAAGTGCTATGTAGGTCAGACCTGGTCAGCACGGCTTGTTTTTTAGCAGTGCACTGATAAATTTGTGTTGTCCCTGATGAGGGGTACGGTCGCTGTCCTCCACTGAATGGGTTGACTCTGTCACACAGTTAAAGCGAGGGATGTTGTTTGAACTGGAGACTCCTGGTAGACCAGGAGTCCTCAGCAGCGATTCCCTGAGGCCGCTTCATCATGAGTGGTGACCTCCTTCCTCTGGGGGTAATTAGATGGGAGAGGTTCAGAAAAACAGTGATAAGAGGTGGCAGTAGGCTAAAACTGGTCAGCATGTGTGCGCTCCTGCCCTTCACTGGGCAGCCACTGTGGGCGTGCGCCGAGTCCCAAGCAAGGGAACCGCTTTCCACCACAACAGAGCGTGGTTGCAGGATGCGTTCCAACTGCTCAGACATACCAGTTTGAAGAGCCATCACAGGAGAGCAGCCGGGGTTGTCGAGCACAGCTACAGCAGGCTGAAGCAACCGAGCTTCAGGTGTGCGGTTGAGGGCTTGGAGCAGATCTATTACCAGGCTCTCTGAATATGTGGTATGTCTTACAATGTGTAAAACAGCTTAAACCATCTGCCTTGGTTCATGTGTACGGTACTAGCAGCTATTGGCTGAATCCTGCCTGGAGTTTACAGGTCTGGCTGAAGAGAAAGTTGGGCTGTGAATTATAAAGGCTACCTTTGTCACTCAATGGCAGGAATAGCACTGCAGTTCCTGTCATTGTCATCACGCTAGAGCCATGTTTGGGTACTTACGGTGTTTAATTGCATGGCTGGTTTACTTAATGTCTCTCCTGGGGTCATTCATAACACATTTATTTTTAGGATTCGGGGAAATTAGGGACACTAGCAATCCATTGTGGTTCTTTCCCAAGGCAGGAGTTTTCCAGATGACGATGGTAATAACAGCAGTGGCTTAGTCGCAGACTAACCTGGCTAAGCTGATGAAATTAGCACTGGCAACTACGGTAGACCTTAATGCTTGCAAATGAACAACTTCCACTGAAAATATACTACAGGCGTAGGCGGAGGTCATGAGTTCCCTGGGTTTGGATAACTTGGAGGATATGTGGATAGTTTATTGGGAAATCCCTGGCAGTGCCTGTTGGCTTTCAACCCTGTAAATAAAAATTTTCTGATCAAATACTCAGCATTTGGGTGTATTTTTGCCCCAACAGAGGAGCTCCTTTGTACCTGGCTGGTAGCTCCAGTGGGGTGTCTAACATGCTTCTCAGTTGCTTTTAGGAAAGACAACGTGCTGAAGGGCCTGTGGTAACAGTCGGCCTAATGCGCCTCACTCTGCTTGTTGTTTTTAAACAGATGGACCTCTCTGTGGAAACTCTTTATAGCTTCATGCAGGAACGCCAGAAGAAGTATGCCAAGTATGCGGAGCAGATCCAGAAGGTCAATGAAATGTCTGCCATCCTCCGCCGTATACAGATGGGCATCGACCAGACGATCCCACTGATGGAGCGGCTGAACAGCATGCTGCCAGAGAGCGAGAGGCTGGAGCCCTTCAGCATGAAACCTGACCGGGAGCTAAAGTCTTAGCTGATCCGGCAGGCTCCCCCTCCTCACCTTCCACGCTCCAGTGTTCAGCACAGACGCGCTTCCAACGGGCTGGGCTGGCAGATGTTTGAAGCGGACGGCAGTGCTGCCTGACTCTCTGCCAGGGCATCGGAGGAAGAGCAGCGTCAGCTGCCAGAACTGCGCAGCCAGGAATCCAGGAGCTCCCTGGTCCCGTCGTCTGGAGAAGATGATTTACCATTCCTTCAGCTCCCTCCTCTTGCCCTCCTGTCTCCTTTACCACTACCACCGCCTCCGCCGAGACATTTGTTTCATTGCTGTGACTAGATTGGGGTTTACAGAGGAGGAGTTTTCTTTCATCTGATTTTTTTTTTTTTTTACTAGAAAAATTCAAAGGGATATGGGGTGTGACAAGCCCTCAAAAATATTTTTTGTGCTACTGGGGTTTAGACGATTAGAGGGCTGGCAGGTATTTCTGAGATCCCCTGGCCTTGGAAACATGTGTGTTTTATAGATGAAAGTGCGGGAGCCAGGAACTGGCTTATTAAAATCTGCCTATTATCATAATTAACATGGTTTGCATGGCAGGGTTTTGGCATGTCCTCCTCGAGGCTCCTGTTTTTATGGGCTCACTAATTTATGAGGCTGTAAAGGAATAACTGTTCCAGATACGTATGTCTGTTAATGTTAAGCAAACCTTAGCGCTCCTCTCCCCCTTGCCCTGGCAGTGTCCCCATGCCCCAGCTGGTGGCATTTCGTGTGTCTCACCTTGCACAGTGATTCTGACAGGCATTGGCACTGACCTGCTCACTTTGGGATGCAGAGTTGGACACGAGGTGTCTTTTTTATTTTTATTGGGTCACTCCAGTTATCTTGGTGCTGCCTTTTTCTACCAGAGGGATGCAGTTGTTTCTTTACCTTCAAGTGTATGGAGTTGGAGGGGGGAGATAGGAGAAAACCTTTAGGTCTTCTCCTTGGCTTAGCCGCTGCCATGCCAAGAGCTTGCCTGAGCGCGGTGTTTTAGGACTGAAACCAAATGGCCCTTTGGGACCGCCCTCAGCGAACCGCTCCAGAGGCGACAGGATGTTCTTGCCTTCTCCCAGGCTGAGGGCCCTGCTGGAAGGCAGGCAGTATGTCCACGCCGCCCGGGCGCTGGGCTGGCCCGTAGGAGATGGGTTGGTTGCCAAGTCTGCTACTGGTCTGCTGGCTGTAGGCGATTTGCCAGCACCTCTCTGAGCTTTGGTTTCTTCCCATATAAAATGGGGGGATATTCTACACGCTGCTGTAAAAATATTTACGAATCTAGAAGTAAGGTTTAACAGCCTGCATCGCCATTGCGTGGCAGCTCTTGTCTGCAGCAGAAAGGGCGTGAAACCAAAGCGGGGAGTTTGCTGGGTCGAGGGTAGGTTTGTGTGTGTTTATGTTAGTCCCAGAATGCTGTTGCTGGCGAGGAGGCTGAAGTGCACCCATGAACCCCAAGGGTGGTTGTACATCAGGAGTGCAATTCCAGTGGTGAGGACAGCTGTCTTTGAGAGTGTCAGTGTGACAGCCCATCTTCCAGTACAGCACAAGGCTAGGTGACTTGCCAAAGGCAACTTGCTTCAATACCTCTTAGTACTTAAGGGTGCTTAATCAGCAAAAGATGGTCTCTAAGCATTTGGGAGTAAGAGCGCGGTAGGTTTTTGACGGTATTAATTTCTCCCTGGTGGCAGGAAGCAACAGGCAGTTTCTTGTTGCATTCCCAAAGGCCATGTAGCCTAGAGTGAATTTTGTGACACAGACTGCAGCCAGCTTAGATGTGTAACTGAACCGTAGCGGTGATTGGACCCCAGGGCCTGCTGACCACTGTCTGGAA